CTTTTAAAATATAATGCACTGAAGCCAGCAGTAGGCCTTAAGGCTACTGAATCAGTGATGGAGGCTGCTGGAGCTCACAGCCCATAGATGGTAAGGAAGTCATACAAGTGGTCAGAATGAGATTACAGGAAACCCTTTGCTGTCACTAGGTATAGGATTCCGTTGCATTGCCCGTACATGGTTCTGGGTCAAAGTCCCAGAATGGGAAGGAGCATAGGACAGGAGAGCAGTGACTACATCTCTTTTTACATCATAACACCTTGGAAGAATTGAAAACTTGCAGACCCCCAGAACTACCTCCGAAAAGAACAGTACAAAAAAAGCTAAAGCATGAGACAATGCCCCCTCCACCCCAGGAGCAGAGCCCAATTTAATATAAAGTTAAAAGTCAAGAAATATGCTGGAAAAATGAGCAAACAACAAAAAATAATAATAATCTGACCACAGAAAGTTACTAAGACGACAGGGACGACCAAAACACAAACTCAGAAGAAGACAACAAAATGAAAACATCTACTTGCAAAGCTTCAAAGAAAAATGTGAATTGGTCTCAGGCCAAAAAAACAGGAATTTCTGGAAAGCCCAAAAAGGATTTGAAAAATCAAATAAGAGAGGTGGGGGGAAATAGGGAAAAGGAATGAGAGTGATGCAAGAAAATCATGAGAAAAGAGTCAACAGTTTGGTAAGGAAGGCACAAAAAAGTACTGAAGAAAATAACTCCTTAAAAAACAGAATAGGCCAAATAGTAAAAGAGCACAAAAATCCACTGAAGAGAAGAACTCTTTAAAAAAGCAGAATTGGCCAAATGGAAAAAGATGTTTTAAAAAAATTCACTGAAGAAAAGAACTCCCTAAAAAGTAGAATTGGCCAAATGGAAAAGGGGTACAAAAGCTCACTGAAGAAAAAAATAATTGCTTAAAAATTAGAATTGGGCAAGTGGAAGCTAATGACTCTATGAGACATCTAGAAAAAAATCAAACAAAATCAAACGAATGAATAAAAAAAGAAAATGTGAAATGTCTCATTGTAAAAATACTTGACCTAGAAAATAGATCCAAGAGAGATAATTTAAGAATTATTTGACTATCTGAAAGCCATGCTCAAAAAAAAAAAACCTAGACATCATCTTTCAAGAGTGTATCAAGGAACACTGCCCTGGTATCCTAGAACAGGGGTAGAGAACCTGCGAACTCAAGGCCACATGTGGCCCTCTAGGTGCTTGGGTACAGCCTTTTGACTGAGTTCAAGCTTTACAGAACAAATCCTTTTATTAAGGGGATTTGTTCTGTGAAGTTTGGATTCAATCAAAGAAACGCATTTGAGCACCTAAAAGGCCACATGTGACCTTGAGGCCACAGGTTCTCCATCCCTGTCCTAGAACCAGAGGATGAAATAGAAATTGAAAGAATCCACAATAGCCTCCTGAAAAAGATCCCAAAATAAAAACTCCCAAGAATATCAGAGTCAAATTCCAGTAATCCCAGGTCAAGAAGAATATATTGCAAGCAGACAGAAAGAAACAGTTCAAATGTTGAGGAGCCATAGTCAGGAATATACAAGATTTAGCAGCTTCCAAGTTAAAGAATTGGAGGGTTTTGGAATATGATATTCCATAAGGCAAAGGAGCTAAAATCACAACCAAGAATTACCTACCCAGCAAAACTGAGTATAATCCTTCAGGGTTAAAAACGGATATTCAATGAAATAGAGGATTTTCAAACATTCCTGATGAAAAGATTAGAACTGAATAGAAAATCTAACTTTCAAATACAAGACTCAAGAGAAGCATAAAAAGGCAAATATGAAAGAGAAATTATATGGGATTCAATAAGATTAAACTGTTTGCATTCCTCCATGGGAAGATGATACTTGTAACTCCTAAGTACTTTATCACTATTAGGGCAGTCAGAAGGAGTATACACAGGCAGAGAGCACAAGTGTGAGTTGACTATGATGAGATGATATCCAAAAAAATACAAATAAGGGGTGAAAAAGTGGGATGCACTGGAAGAAGGATGAAGGAAGAGGTAGAATGGGGTAAATTATCTCATGTGAAAGAGGCGTGAAATAGCTTTTACAATAGAGGGGAATTGGAGGGAGGGGGGAGGAGGGGCAGGCAACACTTGAACTTTACTGTCATTGGAATTGGCTCAAAAAAAGAAAATAATAGATACACTCAACTGGGTATAGAAATCAATCTTACCTAATGGAAAAGTAGGAGGGAAAGTGGATAAGAGAGGGGATACTGATAGAAGGGAGAATAGATTGGGGGAGACAGTGGTCAGAACCAAAACACTTTCAAGGAGGGAACAGGTGAATGGAAAGAGAGAAAAGGATAATGAGGAGGAAAAATTAGGATGGAAAGAAACACAATTAGTAATCATAACTGTGAATATGAATGGGATGAATTCATCCACAAAATGGAAACAGATAGCAAGAGTGGATTACATGATTTAGAAATAAAAGGAGATACCATAAGCAAACTAGGGAAACATGTAATAGTTTACCTGTAAAAATCTACGGATGAAGGAAGAATTTATGACCAAACAAGAGATACAGAGCATTATGGGATATAAAGTGGATAATTTTAATTACATCAAATTTAAAAGGTTTGCACAAACAAAACTAATGCAGACAAAATTAAAAGGAAAGCAGAAAACTGGGGGGAAATTTACAGCAAATTTCTCAGAAAAAGGCCTCATTTCTCAAATATATAGAGAACTGAGTCAAATTTATAAGAATACAAGCCATTCCTCAAATGATAAATGGTCAAAGGATATGAACAGGCAGTTTTCAGAAGAAGAAATCAAAGCTATCCATAGTCACACAAAAAAATGCTTTAAATCACTATTAGTTAATCTTCTAATTAACTTTCCCCAAGGTACCACCTCATACCTATGAGATAGGCTAATATGACAGAAAAGAAAAATGACAAATGCAGGAGGGATTCTGGGAAATTAGGACACTAATGCATTGTTGGCAGTATTGTGAACTGATCCAAACATTCTGGAGAGCAATTTGGAACAATGCCCAAAGGGCTATAAAACTGTACACACCCTTTGACCCAACAATACCTTTCTAGGTCTGTATTCCAAAGAAGTTAAAAGAAAAAGGGAAAGGATCTATTTGTACAAAAAATATTTGTAGCAGCACTTTTTGTGGAGGCAAAGAATTGGAAATTGAAGGGATGCCCAGCAATTGGGGAATGGCTGAACAAGTTGTGGTATATGATTGTGATGGAGTACTACTGCACTATAAGAAATGATAAGCAGGATGTTTTCAGAAAAACCTGGAAAGATTTACATGAACTCATGCAAAGTGAACTGAGCAAAACCAGGAGAACATTGTACACAGTAACAGCAATATTATACAATGATCAGCTATTCTCAGCAATACAATGATTTAAGACAATTCAGAAGGGTTTAGGATTAAAAATGGTACCCACCACTAGAGAATGAACTGATGGAGTCTGAATGCAGATCAAAGCATACTTTTATTAACATTATTTTTCTTGGAATTTTTTGTCTGTATTTTCTTTCACAACATGACTAATATGGAAATATGTTTTGCATGGCAGCACATGTATAACCTATATCAAATGCCTTGACTTCTTAATAAGGGGTGAGGGGAGGGAGAGAATTTGGAACTCAAAAATCTAAAAAACAAATTTAAAAATTGTTTTTACACAGAATTGGATAGCTGGGGAAAATATTGAAAATATATATTAAATTTAACATGTGTGGGGGCAGCGATATCCTGACCCATCTGTCCATGCAGATTAGACTAATTTTCCTTAAACAACACTGAGAACGTCCCACTGAGACATTCCTCAAGAGCTGGTTGGCTCAGAGGAGTAAGGGCACAGACTGAGGAGCTAGAGGAGCCTTCAGATGCTTATTTGGGGGGGTGATCTAAATGAGAGTTGCACTCAGCTGAATCAACTCAAGGAGTTTTGAATCCCTATTCTTGTTGAAAATCCTTCTCTAGCTCTAGCTAAGTAAATTTCTTTTTGTTAACACTGGAATGATCTATGAATTGTTCTAATATAAAACCTGAACTACTGTGAGACTAGCCTGAGTCAAGCCCAGAACAGCACAACATGGTAGTACCAACACTGCCCTATCAATCTTTGTCTCCTTCAGAACTTCCCCTCTGGTGTCATCTGTATATCCACTGAAAAGTTTTGTGAATCAGCTTTTCTTTTCTTTCCGCTCTTTCCTTTTTTTAAAATAACACTATCACTAATTGCCACCTTCCTTAACTTCTCCTGAAGCACTCTTTAAATAAAAGGCCTCCCTTTTGTCAAATGGTTGTATATGAAAATGCATGTCTTATACTGTATCTATAGTATATCACTTTTCCAACAAAAGGAGAGAGATGCTTCATCATCAATCTTCTGGAGTTGTTACTGATCACTGAATTGATTAAAGCCCTTAAGTCTTTCAAAAGTGTTAGTCTTTATGCTATTGTGGTCACTATATAAAACAGTTCTGTTTATATATTTTACTTGGCATCAATTCATATGTTTTCCCACATTTCTCTGAATTTGTCCCTTTCATCATTTCTTATAATGCAGTAATACTGCATTATATAATTCATAAAACACAATTTGTTCAGCCATTCCCCAACTGATAGATATTCAGTTCATCTCTAGCTCTTTGCTACAACAAAAAAAGTGAAGTTATAAATATTTTTATACATGAGTCCTTTCCCTCTTCATCCAATCTAGGAAGAGAATTTCTACTAGCAAATGAGCACTTCATGAACTACAACATATTCATTCCTGTAACTATTAAAAAACTTAAGAAGCACATTGGGAATTGTAGTATATGAACAGCATAGCAATTAAGAATGAATAACACTGCAGAAACTCACAGATCACCTCCATTTGGTTCAACTATGCTCCTAAAAATATATTGTAAATCATATGCACTTAATAAATGTTTACTAAGTTGAAATTTCTGAACCAAGAAAAATTTCTTAGTACAATGGCTACTCACTTAATGTCCAAAAGGTGAAGCTGATGGTTGCTATCTCTGTGGGTCATTTTCAGCTTTGTGCTTTGCTCTGATATTGACAGGTCTACTCTGCTTAAAAGCTGAGAAATCTGAAAAAAGTTATTCACACTTTAAAATTCCGTATTGGATCACAGAATTATAGATTTAAACTAACAAAGAACCTCAGAGGGCATCATCTATTTAAATCTTTACAAAAAGTAACTTTAGAAAAGAGAAATTAATTAATTATACCAAGAATTTTAAAAGTAATCAATAATCTTGTTTAGCATTTTTAGCTTTGTAATAAACCTTCCACTAAAACCCTACTCACAATGCCTCATCAAAGGGGAAGGTTACAGGGTTCCTGAGGTCTATGCCAGTGAAGTACAAGACCTGACAGATACCGTCAAGCTGGAAAAGCTTCTATACTGGTCCAGTAATGGGCTGTGGTCCATTGTCCTAAGATCAGCCTAGCTACAAGCAGAGATACTCATCTCCAGAAGTTCAGCCTTGAAGTAATGATTATTTGGGGCAGGGGGAGGAGGGGTTTCTTAGCAATTCATGAAGATTTTCTATTAAGGCATGGAAAATATTCCATATATATCAATGGAAGAACTCAAACAGAAGAGGAAGAAGAGGAAGAGGGGAAGGAGGAGGAAAAGGAGGTAAAAATCTTCCTCCTTGTCCCTCCTCCTTCTCCTCAACTCCTCCTCTTCCTTTTTCTCCCTCTCCTCCAGGTCAGAAGTGCCTGCTCCTAATACTGATTGGCATGAAAGCTAAAACCTGTTCTTTTTTTTCTAACCTGGGCTGGAAGACTTCTAGTGATGGAAAAGCCATGGAACATATAATACCATGTATTGCTATATAAATTCATGCACATTCACCTTTCTCTCCAACTACACTACATTTTTTTTTTACAATGGAGAACAATTCTTAGGTTTCTCTGTATTCCCTAGATTGCCTGGCACAGTACTATACACATGAAGATAAAAGTAAACCCAACCTTTTTGCTAGAAGGAACTACCCTAGTCTAGGATTATCTAGTGCTTTTTCCATTATCACAGCCACAATCATGGAGCTGAGTGGAAGGAGAGGAAATGGTTTTATTCATGTGCCATACCACCTCATCTCTTCCAATAAGTCCAAACTAATGACCCTATGGCTTTTTTACAATTGGCTGACTAGTAAAATGGACATTTTACTGCAGTCTCTGTACCATCTGTGTGACTGTGAGTGCTCTAATCTCTTGCCAACTTCAAGGTAGCTGGAACAATTCTAATTTTGATGACATATACCATGTGGGCAGGCTTTCTGGTGAAAGTTCTGAATAGACCCTACTCAGGAGACAAGGGGTTCCAGGCTGCAGCAGTAAACAACTCCTGGGAGGCTACAGCTCTCTTATTTTGTGCTTTGCTCTGATATCGCCACGAATGGCCATGTTTAACAAACTGACAAGGCTGCCTTATGAATTGCCCACACCTAGCTTAGTGTCTGGCACACAGTAGGTGCTGTGGAAATGCTCATTCCCTTTCCCTCTACAATAAACAATTGGTATCTAGGTGACCCACTTCTCAGCTATCCCTCCCCAGTCATCATAATTAAGTGAAAGCTCAGTATAAGGACTATAGAAGAAGACTAAGTAGCTCTATTCCCAGTCCATGCTGCCTTACTCCTAGCCCTGCCAACTCATCCCACATTGGCTAATGGAAAATGAGATCATTTTAAAGTCTAAAGAAGTCTGAAATGGAGTCAAATGCCCCTGGGTGAATGCCTAGGAAAATATATCAGCTAACTTCCACCCTTTTAGAAGCTGGCCTGGTATTGGCGAATGCTTAAGGATAGGAACTTAAATAATGGTAGATTGTGGATGAGGGGGGCAGGAAGAAGAGGGAAAGGAGGTATCCTCTAGTCTGGGTTTCTCTGAAGAGACTCGGCCTAGCCTCTGTATAGAAAATCCTCAGAAGGGATTAAGTTCATGCCCGCCCTGGAGTAGATGTGAGCCTTCATGACATCCCTGGACTCAACTGGGCTTCTTAAGGGTTTTAGGAATTAGAAATTACCTGGGACTGAGCCCAGCTTCCTTAGAATAGACCATCTGTACCTCTTAGCACTAGAGGCTGAACTATACTGCCACACCACCCAATACACTCAGGAATTTGCCTAGGTTTTTTTTTTCCTACCTGTCACACAATAACATCAATTGTTTCATTTCATGTATGCAACATATAAGCAAATAAGATGATACAAAAGGCTACTATGCTAATACATTTAAGATGACAAAGGACAGGAAGATGTGGGAAATAAAGGAAAAAAGTTCTAGTTCTACATAAACCCAGCCCCAATATTAAAAAAATGACTCATCTGCTTCAAGAAACTATTAACCTCAAGGTATTTGTGCTAACTGCAAATCAATCATTTTAGAAAATTATTTTTAAAATATCATACCTGTCCTTCTGCATCTTTGATTTTAGTTTCCAAAATAAGTTTGGCAGCCTGCTGTTCTTTGTTCAAGTGCTGAAGGCCTTCATATGTTGTTTTATGCTCTGCAGACAGTCTAGCTATGCTAGCATCACACCTGTCCAAGTGAACACCAAAGTTAAAAACAATTAAAGTTAAAACAGATGAACCAAAATTTTGTTTTAAATACCATAAGATACATTGTTTCTATTAAAATAACAATATGTTCCAGCAGTTTTCAAAGGAAGACATCCAAGCTATACACAAACATATGAAAAAAGGCTTCAAATCACTCATAGAGAAATGTAAAATAAAGTTGCTCTGAGGTTCTACCTCACACCAATGATATTGGCAAAGATGACAAAAAAAAGAAAATGACAATTGGAGGATGAGCTGTAGGAAAATGTTAACACTATCAGTAGAGCTGTGAATCAGTCCAACCATTCTGGAAAGCAGTTTAGAATTATGTCCCCAAAGTTACTAAGTTGTACATACCCTTTGACCTACCAATACTACTACTAGGTCTATGAAATGAATAGATTTTAAAAAGAGGAAAGGGGCCTATATCTACAAAAATATTTATAGCAGCTCTTTTTATTGTAGCAAAAACCTGGTAACTGTCTGTATAGGAAGAGCTAAACAAATTATGGCATAGGAATGTAACAGAATATTATTACACTATAATAATGCTAAAGTTGATGGCTTCAGAGAAAACTGAGAAAACCTGATACAAAATGAAGTAAGCAGAACCAAGAGAATAATTTATACAACAATGCCATTGTTATAAAGAAAAACAACTTAGAAAGACTTGAAAACTCTAATCAATGCAATGACCAGCCATAATTCCAGAATACTGAAGATGAAACATGCTAACTACTGCTAGCCAGTGATATGACAGTATATACATTTCTGGACAGGGCCAATGTGGAAATCTGCTTTGCTTGACTAGATATGTTACAAGTGTTTTTCATCTTTTTTTTTTCAAATGGGGGCTGGAGGTAAGCAGGTGATAGGAAGAAAAAATAAATGCTTGTTAATTTTTTTTTAAATTTTAAATAGTATGTTCTGCAAAGCTTTCCTTTGAAGAAAGGAACTGAACAACTCTCTTCAGAATAAATGTATTTCATCCAAATAACAAACAATTAAGTAGTAGAGTTCTCAACTCAAATCAGGGACTCTTATTTGGGGCAAAATTTGTATTATGCCTACTGAAATTAAAAGCTTGAAATGTAAGATTCTGGTATGACAACACAATTTCTAATATTCCTTATCAGTCACATACTTTTTGTGATTAAATGGATCTGAATAGAGAGAATTTTAAACTATAAGTAACAATGCTTTAACATGCTATCATGTGTACCTCACATGGCAGAACTGGAATGATAGTAGCGCTCTAACATTAGGTCAGAGTTTAAGAAATCAGAGAGATACCTACAATAGTATGGTATGTATCATAGAGCTATGGGATCTAATCTCCGTTTTGCTACTAAGTCTTCTTGTGACTTTGGGGAAGCCAGTTCATTTCCTGAGCCTCACTTTCATGGTCTATAAAAATGGGGATGGGACTAGATGGTATCAAAGGTGTCTTCCAGCTCAAAAGTTCTATGATTCTAAAATGGACTAGAGAGAGAAAGTAGATTTAAAACAAAGGTGGCTTTGGAATTTTCCTACAGTCCCCTGGGTCAAAGAGTAAAAAGATTTTAAATTATTGCTATGCTATTCTAGTTAGGATGTTATTGTTTTAATTCAAAACTTATTTCTGCTCTTTTCCCATAGAAAATAAGCTCAGGATTTTATGGCAAATCCCTAAACAGGTCTTTCTCAAGTCCATATTAACTTTCGTCTAATATACTGCAATAGCCTGCTAATTAGTCTTCTCCTGACTTATTCCAACCCAAACCATCAGTCAAACAGCTTCCAAAGTGATTTTACTAAAGCGAAGGTTGACTATGTCACTCACCTGCTCAATATACTCCAGTAACTCATTATTTTATCTAGTATCAAATATTAATTCTTCTGTTTTGTATTTAAAGCCCTTTACAACCTAAGCCCCAACCTACTTTTCTAGTCTTTATTATATATTACTCCCCTCTTTATGCACACTATGATCCCACCAAATTGGCCTTACTGTTCCTTCTATGTGGAAGCCAAAGTCTTTGCATTGGTTGTCCCTCATACTTGGGATATACTCCTCCCTTACCACCAAGTCCCAGTATCCCTAGTTTCCCTCAACTCTCAGCTCAAACACAACTATCTACATGAAGCCTTTCCTGATAGCCATGCCCCCATCCCCATTCTGGATATTTATGCCTTTCACCCAAAATTTGATTTTATTCACTTTCTCTTCAATATCTGACTTTCAAGGCAGAGAGGCAATTCTGTATAGTTTCAATAAACACTTATTAAGAATCTACTTTGTGCTGGGCACTGAGCTAAGAGCTAGAGATACAAGAAAGGCATAAAATAGTCTCTATACTCAAGGAACTCACAATCTAATGGAGAAAGGCAATTCATTTTTTAAAAAGGTGAAAAGAAGAGGGTCACTAGGGAAAAGGTCATGATGAAGTCCTATAGCTGGGGTTAGAATCTGAAGGAGTGAGTTTCAGAGTTGATTTTAAAGTTGGTTTCATCTTGCAGAATGATGAGTTTCTAAAGATGACAAAAATCTAGGAGCAGGCAAGGGAATAATGAGGAGAGTTCCCTGGGTGCCCTCCTTAAATGGTTGAGGATCAAGGAGGTGCTCCCAGATGTCCATCCTCAACCAGAAGGAGAGAGTGGAGAGTGCTGAACATGGAATCAGAAAGATTAGGGTTCAAATTTCACCTCTGACCCACAAGTTATGGGAAAATCACTTAACATTTCTGACCCTCAATTTCTTTTCAGTACCACCCTCCCCTGCTGAGCCATGTGGTATTAGAGAGTTGGCCTCCAAGTCAGGAAGATCTAGGTTCAAATCCTATCTCTGACACACATTAGCTTCTAAGTAAGTCACTTAACCACTCAGGGCCCTAGACATTGCTCTTTGTAGCACAGACCATTCCAACCTGTAAGCAGAAAGAGTTTCCTCAAGCAGGAATTCTCTAGACCGATGAAATCACAGGTGTAGTCCCATCCCTATCTCTCAAATGCTGGTTGTATACACCATATATATAAAATCTGCTAAGAGGTCACGCAGAATAAGGATTTTAAAAAGCCAGTGGGTACAGCAAAAGCCAAGAATGAAAAGTGATTAGTGCAAGCAAGAAAATAGAGACAACAAATGAAATACTGTGACACTTTTCAGTGATAGATTGTACTCATTGATTAGCTTTCTGAAATAGTTCTGAAGCTTATGGATTATCACCAACTAAGTCTTGGATCCTAATGCTAGCTCAGAGATGTGGGCATTCTCTTATTCACCAAAAACCATTATTTAAAACATCATTTAGGGATGTCAATTTAGTATATGGATGTCACAGCATTACCTGATATCTTTACTTAATTAAGAATTTTATCAGCTCTCCTTTCTAGACTTTAGTATTATAAGATGTAGATGAACCAATAGTGTTCTAATCATTCCAAATTTTCCCTGTGCTGGCCCTTTTCAAACTGTGTACAGATCTCTATTTTCTGGCAGGTTCATTTCCTAGGCTCAGTCATAAAGAAGCAGAGAGATTCCAGTCTCTTTCCAAAAGAAATAAAACAGAATGGGAGACAAGGATCTGTTAAGAGATTCCAGGAGAATTTGGTACAGTTGATAAGCCCAACAACTAAAACGATTTTGGCAAAGTGTTTCAATGAAACTCTTTCTAATTGTTAATAACAGGTTTTTAAGTATTTCCTGAATTGCTCATTTGCTTTAGAGATCTAAAGAATAGTTATAGTTAACATTCCTCAGCTCTTAGAAGCTAAAGGAAAAAATGGCTAACTTGATATTAGCTATGTATGAAGATTTTATATTTTAAGTTAATAGTGAATTGCCCTAAATGGAATACTAGTCTTACTGTTCTTAATTCTAAACTCAAGCATTTTCTAGTGGTAATAGCAATTAAACAAAACCACATTTCAAATTCAGTTCCATTTTAAAAAGTTATGAAGCACCTGCTCATGTGAGGTAGTAGGGATACAATAATGGAAAAACTGTGAACTTTCTTTGTGAACACATTAATGAGTTCATACATATTTGCATAGTATCTATCTTTGAAAAAGACAGCTATACCATTTAAAATAACCATAGACAGCATAAAATACTTGGAAGTATACCTGCCAAGACAAACCCAGGAACTACATGAATATAATTATAAAACACTTTTTATACAAATACAACCAGATTTAAATAATTGGAGAAATATTAATTGTTTAAGGGTGGACAGAGCCAATATAACAAAAATAACAATTCTATATAAACTAATCTACTTATTCAATGCCATCCCAATTAAATTACCAAAAAAAATTTATTGAGCTAGAAAAAATATGAAAATTCATTTAGAAGAACAAAAGGTCAACAATATCAAAAGAATTAATAAAAAAAATTTAAGAAAGAAAATAGTATCAGATCTCAAACTATATTATAAGGCAATAACTATCAAAACTATTTAGTACTGGCTAAGAAACAGAAAAGTGGATCAATGAAACAGAGTAGACATACAATACACAGTAGCAAATGATTATAGTAACCCTGTGTTTGATAAATGTAACAATTTAAGCTTTCGGGATAAGAATTTACTATTTAGTAAAAATTGGTGGGAAAACTTAAAAGCAGTCTAGCAAAAACTGGATATAGAGCAATATCTTACACCATTTACCAAGATGAGGACAAAATAGATACGTGACCTAAATATAAAGGGAGATATCATAAGTAAGTTAGAAGAACATGGAACTTATTGACTATCAGACCTATGGATAGAAGAATTTACGTGTAAACAAAAGATAGAAAGCATTGTGAGATGCTTTCTATGGATAATTTTGATTACATTAAATTTTTTAAAAATTGTACAAATAAAACAAATGTAGCCAAGATTAAAAGGAAATTAGAAAATGGGGGGGGGGAATTTTATGGACAGTTTTTCAGATAAAGGTCTCATATCTCAAATATATAGAGAACTTTGTCAAATTTATGAGAATAAGTCATTCCCCAGT